GTATAATATGTTCATATATTTACGGTCTTTATGTGACAAATATGTAATGGAATTTACCTTCTTAGTAAAGAATAAACAAAATTACCATAAGGTAAAAAAGTAACGGTTCAGCAAAATATCCAATGCATTACACTAATGACTGCAGGTAAAAATTATTTTAGGTGTATACTAAAATTTCTTTTTTAACATAATAATGAAGGTTATGAAAAACCTAGAGTGGTCTATTTGCATAACTGATTTTTGTTTTGTTTTTGGCTCTGGACAAGATGTTTAGTTCATTAGATGTTTTCCTATATTGTATATTATATACTACATATCTTTAAATGTTATTATACGAAAAGTAATATTCAAGTACCCACGATCAGTGAAGTAAAAATTTTGTTTTCGCTATCAATGCTTCTGTCGATGTGACAATAGAAAAGGAGTTAAAATACGCATCCCATAGCATATAAATCATTGATCCCGAGACAATTGTACCGGTCTCTATAAAAATAACATTATCTTGTAATGTTTATTTAAGACTGTCAAAACATAAATATTACTCACGATTGGCAACGGACAATAGAAATTACCTGCAGATACGATTGTTTATATAAAGGGTCCAGGAGATATTTATTTCGGGATTATTTATTGAAAAATAACGGTAAATGGGGGACACTAAGGGATATTCATGGGAAATTTTGAACAAAAAATAATCATAACTTTTATTTCCATAATACTGGTATATTATACTGTAGTGTAAACCGAATGGCTGGAAACGGCATCTTATTTAAAAAAAAATATTATTAAGAGTTTTTTTTTGGTTTATTAAATTCAACACGCATTAGTATTTTATATTTAAACATATTCTGAATAAAAGAGTTTTCATGTTCTTCACTATATTAAATCATTAAATTATTCAAATAAATCTATATAATAAAAGTCGAATAAACTATTATTGTTATTTTATTTCTATGACATAACGGAAAATGTATGAATCTAATTATTTTTTGTAAATGTATGACTCTAACAGTGTTTAGACCTCACACTGATACGCATGACGTAATACATTTTTACATTAATGACTTGATAAATAATATTAATCATATTTTTAATGATATTGATTAGTATTAACTGATTAGTTAATTAACATTAATAATAATGAGGAAGCTAGCTGAGAGAAAAATCAAGAAGTTAATTTTTAAACGTTTAATAAAAAGCTACTTAAAACTTATTGGAAATATTTAAAAAATGTGTAAAAAAAACTTTTTTATTAAAACTATAGTTAGGAAATTAATATTTATTTAATTTAACTCAATACCACGAAACAATATACAATTAATTAAAAAAGTGCAAGAATGACGAATTATAAGAAAACAATATTTCGGTATAATTTTAGAGTTTAAAGTTAATTTTAAATACCCTTCCCTTAAAATAAATTTTAAATCACATAATTTTATGTACACACAGTTACAAAAAATATTTATTGCATTTTTTAAAATATTATAGAAATTAAATGTATTTCGATTTATAATTAAAAAAAGGATTCTAAAATGAAATGATATATAATCATTTAAACTAATTACTGCATGGTTAAATAATGAAATAGCTAAAAAATATTGATACATTTCAATTAGGGTAACGTATAGTTATAGTTTTATAATTTGAATTGTTAAAAATATATTTTTCAATATTAATTTTTACGAAAACAGTAAAATACCCACCAAAAGTGTTTGAGTTCAAAGGACAAAAAAAAAAAAAAAAACTGCTATAATGTTAGTATCATTTATCACAGGTATGAGAAAATGCAATGAATAAGTTTGATCGTGAAATTTTCCAATTGATTTCATGCGATTATCGATTTACAAAGAATTAGTTACAGGGAACAAGGGTAAAAAAATTGTGAATAGTTTTCAAAAAATAAAAATAATAACTAAACGTGTAACGAAAAACCGATGTCTCATTATATATTATAACGTTATTACGGATGGTTTAATCATTTGTCATCTTACACCACCGGTTGTAACTCCCATCGAAAACGATTACAAATTTGTATTATTATTGTTAGATTATTTGTTATATCAATTATCGAATGTCGTGCATGACACAGACGTACATAATTCGACGTTACGATTTTTTTTTTCCAGAAACAGATGTTTGTTATATTATCAACGATTCTTCATAACATTTTATCATAATATGTTTGTAAAAAAAATTATAAACTATAATCTTTTAGTTGTTATAGAGTCGGTCCTAATTCAATGCGGAAAAATGAATTTCAATATCCATAAATAAATAAATACTGAAATATAATGAAATGAATATTTATTGATTATTTTATCATAATTAAATTTATAACTTAAAATGCTCGTTGTTGCATTAATACCTCGTACAGCTTTGTACAATAAATACATTAATTGATTTGTTAATTTACTGTCTAAGATAAGTGTTTGGTTTAAAATTGAAAACAGCTTCAACAGACATAATATATAATGTCTATTAAGACTTTATACTACATATTAACTAAGAAATATCATTATAATACGATACATATTATCTATATTGAAATCTCCAAAAGATCGTTAATTTAATTAAAATCAAATGTATCTGCATCGATTATCAACAAATAATTAATTTAATTTAATTTCATGTACATACTTGTCCATGTGTTATAATAAATATCATTACAAACCTTAATCTTCCTATATTATAAAATGTCTTTAGTATTATATATAAATGGTTATAATCTATAAAGCAATATTCTATAACAAAACGGATCGATGTTTAAAACCATTTATTTTGTACACCGTACACGAGTCATTTCGAAAACGTTTGACACATATGACAACCGTGAGTTGCTGATACACTACGCGTCACGTCGTCAGAGTTCACTCATTTTAGATATTTTCTTACGTACATATTTTACAGTGTTCGGATTTTTCGATTTTTTCAAATCGTTTATCAAATGAAATCGTTACTACTATCGAATTACTACAGTTGTTAACACTATTACGATTATTATTATTATGTAATGGTGTTCTTGTATAAAGCTTAATACAATATATTCGTATTTAATATTCCGTGAAGCTATCGTGAATAGACTGAAATTTCAAGTGTAATATTCCTAATATAAAAGACGCGCACAAACATGTGCACATGTAACAATTAAAAACACACCACGACCCATTCGCGATTACGATCTTTTATATGAATACAATATTTCGTACAAATAATATAATATTAAATAAAAAAAAAACCGTTGCTTCAATGCAGGGCGTTTCATTTTAGAAAATCGTTTTTAAACACCCGTCATTACCAGTGTTTGTTTTTTATTAATTTCATTACGTGACCAGTGTTCCGATCATTCTAAGCGTATGACTATAATAATAATAATAATAATAATAATAAAAACAATAATAATAGTAATACTATACGAAAGGTATACCTGTAAGCACGCGAATGATACCATCGTATTTTCCATATAATTATCTGATTGGTTGGTCTAGAACCGACAAAAACCGAAATAAAATGAAATATTTGTATCATTGGTAAAAAATGTACGAGAAGTGAGTCTTCATTATATTGTTGTATTGTTTCAATGATAAACTATTTCCCGAACGAATGAAATATACACAAATCTATTGTCGGCTGATCCTTCATTATTTATTACGAAAATTCAAACTTAAACGTGGATTCAAATGTACATTTAAACTACGACGAATAATAAGCAAACAATTGCGTATTTAAGATTCAATCAATATAATATTCACGTTTGAAATTAATATATCATTTTTAATCAATTATGCTGACTAAAATTTACTCGTCTACCAATGATAAGAAACAATAAAAAATATTATATATATAATATTTTAATCTATTCATATTCTATACTACAATAAATTTAATATTATAATTGAAAACATAACACAGTAAAATCATAGAAACACATCATTTTTTGAAAATGGTATTGTTTATGGTTATTGTTTATCGTTTATGGTTACCTTTATGTAATTTTAAATGTAAAAAGTAAGTTACTATAAATGACATCAGTCTTCAAAAAAAAAATAAATATTTATTTAATACTTAAAATACGACAAAAATATATTACTTAACATTAATTTCTATATTTATTAAACAATAATATGATGTAATTATGAAATATACTAAATATAAGTTACAAAAACAAATCTGAAAATATACTACATTAAATATAATTTTATGAAACTTTACATTGGTACCTTCAAAGAAACATGTGTATTTAAGTAATAGTTTATTTCACTATTATTTTTGCTTTAAACAATGAAGTCTATTAACATAAAAAATTATTATAAGATTGTAATAAGGAATCGTAATCCCAAAGCAGTTATATTAGATAAATTTAATAATATTACAATTTAAAGTAATATCATTACAGAAAAACATGAAAGTAAAACTTAGAAAAATATATGAAATATTTCAGCATATCAAGCTTATTATAAATGTTTTGTAGAATGTGCTTGTTCATGGATAATGTAAAGTGATAACTGATAAAAAAAAATGTCAGAAAACGTATTAATGTAATATACCAACAACTTGAATTAGATAATTAATTTAAACTATGAACCGTAGCAAAGTACATAAACATGAAAGCAACGTCGTTTGGAGTTAAAGGTTTGCTATTCGTCAATTCATCATTGTTATTTAAACTTAATTGAAGTTGGCGTAATGCTAAATAAAATAAGTATAGTTAATTCCATACTAAAGCTTATATACAAAGATGATTTAAATAAGTCGTATTTTTATATAATTCTGACGCCTACAAGAGATTTGCTGACAAAATTAAATTCCTGTGTTTGAGAATAAAGGCCAAATATTTCCATAACAAATAATAGGAACGGAAAAAAAATCATGAAATCTCATATTATTAAGATTATATTCGTAAATATGATTAAAACGTTCAAGTATAAAAATATCATAAAATAAACGAATAGTGGTTTATAATGTAAGACTTCGAATAATATTTAAACTATAAATATGCATACCTCTCGGGCCAACACATCGATTCATCCCTGTACCTGAAATCAATAAAATAAAATTATTATTTATGTTTTTGAGATTAAAAATATTATATTGAATATAAATCGTTATTGAATAAATAAATATGTTTAGTTGTTAATATTTCATAAAAGAAAAATAATATTTTCATCAAGTTTTTATAATTAATAGGAAAATCAATTTTATTTGACATATTATAAGGCATTAATGTATTAATTAATAATCTGAAACTTTACTAATTTAACTTTAAAATGAATATTATATATATTTAAAAAACGTCAATTTTAAAAACCATATACTTATTCACTGTTTCAGTTTAAATAACTCTGAATCTATAAAATGGAATAACAACAAATATATTTGTCAATAATAATTTATATTAAAACATATTTAAAAGATCCAAATAGTTATTCAAATCATCAAAGTCTTAGTTATAGTAACTACTCGTATTTAAGAAACTTATGGCTTTAAATACAATATTATTTTAAAGAAAAGTACTCGGAATCGAATCTAATCCAATTTCAAATAAATACCATGTATTTTTTTATGTTTGCATTTATAAAAAAATTACTATTAAGATGTATCACATACTTCACTGACTTTATTGCAATATAAATTGGATACTCATTATAATTAAGCTAAAACTATGAAATTATGAATTTTGCATTTAGAGTTCTCTAAGTAGTAGATGTTATACAATTATATTTGAATTAATATATAACTACAGTAGAAATATATTTAGTGCATTTATTTTTTTTTTTTTTTTATTAAAAATTAGATTTATTAGATCAGTCTTTATTAATGTTAATACATTTTGTAATTAGATAAGTATATTCAAAATGTAATAGTTTTTTCTATAGAAATGAACGGGTATGTTTGCGATGAATAAAATGAGTCTCACTTAACGTAATACTTTTTAGAAATCTAACCTCGACATTAAGCGAAGACTTCCTGTACATAAATCAAATGGGCAAATAATGTTTTATTAATTGCAATTATTTTGAGTTTAGATAATATAATCGGATTGGGAGTAAATTAAAATATACATAAAATATTTAATTGAAGATTTTTCAAACCCTTTCTTATTACCAAAGCTAAAATTAACTAATATTAAAAACACCTAAAAATAATTTATTTTATATTTTAATTGATTGTACATTAAAATATTAAATATTGTTTCAGTGAGAACGACCAAAATTTAATAAAAATAATGTAGTAAATCTGTAATTTTATTTTTATTCTTAGAAAATATAATTTTCTTTGGGCACCCGAACGATTTTCAAACCCTTAATTTGGCGTTTGAACCAAAAAAGGTTCGTCGCCCTTAAACTAGAGTCTTAAATTTATAACACTTGAGTTTTTTTTATATGCAACAGTTATTAATATTAATATTTTATGCGAGCACACACACTTGCGCTGTTCACAATATTTGTTCGAAAAGCGTAGTGTAACAAGACTTTAAAATCAAATAAAAAAAAAAATATATATGGAAAATATTTATAGACACATTTTACAATAGGGATGAAATTGAAATTGTAATGCACTTTTGGCCATTCGATCGGGCACACATGCGATGTATAGGTATACAGGAAAAATCGCAGATACTTTAAAACACTTGCCACCGCTGTAAACACATGTCGCCGTCAAGTGGAAGACGGAGGAGTAATATTTCGTATCTGTTTACGTGCATACATTCTGGGGGTGGATTATAGGCGATATTACACACCCTGGTTTACGCGCACGCACGCGCGCACGTGCACACACGTACACATGCGGTGTGTTATCTCTGGAGGATCTCACCGGTGTCCAAAACCGACGATTTATTTTTATTGCTCATCGATTACGATCTACCGGCACCAAAACGCAATAGTACAATTCAAAGAACACGCACAAACGCACACACACACACACACGTATTCGATATATTATATTTATCTCGTTGTACGCATTATCGTGTACTGTCGATGTTAATCTCGGACGTCTTAATTCCTAATACTGTTGTATCATTGCCCGCAACACGTGTCGAACGGAACTCGCGCGTACTGTAGGGCGAGCGACCGAGCGCGCGCTCGACTCAACTTTGGAAATTAATTAGTCATACGTACGCCCGGGTCCACCATGTGTGTGTTATGGACCTTAACGATTGTTTTAATCGCTGTTTGAACGCACGGCGAGGGCGAGCTATTTTCCCCGTCGTCGTTCTCCGACCACGAAGAAGTATTATGTATCGAATGTTGCAACACTCTGGACGAAAAAATGTACGTATTTTTAAACAAACCTCGCGATCGGTAGGCCGTACGATTAAAAAACAACGTTCAGGGAAAAAATTGTGGTCATTTTTACTTCAGGAGCATAAGGTTTTCTTTAAAATCATCTTTACCAAGCTACGTTTTTTTAGTTGACTTCTTCAATACTGAAAAAACTGATTTTATACAAAAAAAAAAAAAATGTATATCTTTTCAGAGATTTTATCAAGTTAACAACTAATAGCAATTAAATTCTTTTCGCGATTCTGTCAGTAAGATTGTACACGTTAGACGCACAAATAAAACTAAAACAATTCACTTTTTTTCGTACGGTTTAATAAAAATACTATTCAATACAAAAAAGTTGTACATAATCAATTTTAAATTGATTTTGAAATAAAAATATACCTGAGTGTATTGAAAATATCTTATTAAAATTCTACAGTGCAATTTCTTTTTATTTAATTTTAAAATTTTAAATTTTAAATAATAAAATTCAAAATTCAAATTTTACTAATGGTACATTGTTTTCAATGTTAATTGATAGAATACATCGATCTTAATGTAAACATTTAAAATAAGTTTACCATCATAAACACTCAACATTTTTCTTGTATTTGAAAATATCGATTTACAATTTTTTCTATAAAGATTCAACAAATGTGAAAAATAAATTAAAGCCTAATATGAAAATTAAATAGTTGAAAAAGTAATGAAAATGTAATAATTTTTGTGCAAATTTTTTTTTCGTATACACTTACTAAAATGCTTGGATAATTAATATATGTATGTATATAAAAACACATTGCACGAAAGAAACATTGATAAACTCGATTTTTTCGTAGGTACTTTTACAACTATTTGCTCATCAAGTCAATTACCTGAGGGACTAAAGTTACATGGCGGCAGTGATACCTAATGTCTTACAACTTTTCCAATAGCACCAGACAAGAATATCAGTCGCAGTGGTGTGCATGCATAAAATCGGTAACACAGTTTACTCTCAATTCCTCAGAGACTCTTCGAGACGAGTGTAAAAAACCCTCGAGTCATTTTTTTCCAGCTTTAAAAATTAATCCCATTAAAGTGAAGACTTGGTTCTTATTCCGCAGACGGGGAGGGAGAGTAGTGACGTCTTTGCTTGTGCCTGCGGTGTACATAATATATTCATGCGGTTTTCTCTTTCATAAGCACCTCTGATATTTTCGAAATATGCACTCCGCTGTCGCCCCCGGAGTGATTTGCATTACAGAAGAAAAACAATCTCAAGTAAATCCGATATGAGGGTTGTCAGATGAACAACACGTACTCTTATACTACCAACGAGTTTTAAAGCTCCGGCAAAGTGCAATTTCAGTAGAACAAGACGAAGCTATACACACATATTTTGAATTTTCTTTGATTTATGGACATATTATTTGTACGTACAAGATATTATATACAAGGTGACACGTGTGGCTGTGTATGAGTTACGTGTGGTTTCTACTCATAAATACTAACCACACACATAATCGATCATGTATCCAGAAACGTTATTCGAAACGGTAGTTTCTATTGCGACATTATTTTAATGTAATTACCAAATATAATACAACAAACCAACGTGTGACCTGCCGATAAGAACACTATACACAACAGATTATATACAACGGTGAACGTATTAATTAATGTACCCACACGTAATCATTATTTATCTGTATATCATTTAAAATATAATGCTTGTTTAGTAGACAAATTGAAAGGTTGAAATATTCTTAATAATATTGAAACTCTGAATTATGAGTAATAGTTTAATTATATTTCATAGATAACAATCGAGATAAAATGAGCGAAATGTAATATATGACTATAGTACGAGTACTATAAATCAGTCTTTATGCGAAGAAAAACTTATATTTCATGTTCGACACTTTTCCTACACATTTAGACAATGATCAAATAATGGCTTTAAATTATTTTCTTATTTATATGTTCTTAAACGTTAGAACAATTAATGTGGAAATAAAGTTATATCGTATATTAAAAATATCAAAATTTTATTTCAACATAAATCGTAATGTAAAAAAGAAATCCATTTATTGTTGTCCATTATTGTTAATTACTCGTGAATCAATAATCGTATACCTACTCGTAAAATGATTGTGTTGAATAATTATTAATTCAAAGAAATGACGGAAAATAAAAATATTTTATTCTTACTTCTCGGCCTCGTGTGTTTGTTCGGGTACGTTGATGTTTTTGTACGCAAGAAAACCGAAGAAAAATAACGAGAAATATTTGATAATGTATGATACGAGATTATGTTTTACATATGTATACACGTACTTGTAAGTATATAGTATAGTGTGGATATATATAAATATAAATAATGACAGCGATGTCTCTCTGCGGCGGCGTTTTAGTGAAGGTGGGTCCGAACACCTTCGTCGGAAACCACCGAGCTCGGAGCAGCGTCCAGCAGTCTGAAGCCAACAAATATGAAAGGAACAAAATGTAATTGTCGGTTGTGGAGGACCGCAAATTACCCAGGACAGACGTAAAGATACTCACACATCGCACAATGGTGTAAATAATTATTACCGTACGTACAATCCGAATTTCCCACCTCTAGAGTCGTGTATTATTGTAATCATTCGGACAAAGTCATTGTTTTTTTTCTAATATTTTTTTCTTCCCTTCCCGTTCAACATACGTGACGGTTCCTTTCATTACTCGTCGTGACCGATCTACAGGTGTACGATACGAAATTACCAGTGTACGTTTTGGAGATAATA